GTACTCGTCATTAACACAGAGTGACATGGCATCAAGACATCTGTAGAATCTTTCATTGAAGTCAACATCTTCTCTCTCTAAAAGGTGTACAATGGTTAAAGGAAATAATCCTTGAGGAATGGCTAGAGATTTTGTTCCACTGTTGTTAATCTCCCATGCTATGAGAAGTGGTTGTATTTCTGTTGAAGCAGGATTGAGCTTATCGTAAGATGGTAATGCACACGGAAAAAAATAGTCACCTTCTTTTCTGTTTTCAACTTTGGCAATGATGTGGAGGTGTCTTAGAAGAGTGATCATATGAGAAGGTTGAAAATCTTTACTAAAAATTTGTTTACCAATAACTTTTAAAAGACCTTCTTTAAAAAGACCAAAATCAATGAGACTACGTCTTTCATCTGGTGAAGGAGTTGGGTTCGCAATCAAATGTAATTTATTATGGTCGACGTATGTGATAGCTATTAGACGTGAAAAGACATCAAGAATTGGCTTAGGATCAACAAATATTATAGTCGGCAGGACTTCATGAAAATAAAGAATGATAGTGACATTGTGTAAATATTGCAGAGCTACATCAATGTCTGATTTTTTATCAAGTTGAAGAGACTTACCAATCTCAATCACTTCTTCTTTTGTAAGGAAACTTCTCTTCTTCTTCTTAGCTTCTATTTGTAGTGAAATCTCAAAAGTAAGCAATCGAATCGGCAAAACTATTGTCATTTCAACTCCACAATTTGAAATTGCAGTACAAAGCTCTATACTAGCTTCTTCTCTTTCCTTAGACCCAGCAGGGAGCAATGTATCAACTGGAAATATAATTGAATCTTGACGCTTATTATGAGGAATGACTTTTTTATTAACTTTATATTCGATCAGGCTTTTGTTCATTTCTTTTAGCTTTTCCTCACTTATCAACTCTTTACGTGTGCCAAGTATAAGATAATGAGAGTGCTTGGGCATATCAGACTCAGTGACATAAGGAATTTCAATGGGATTCAACATAGCTTCGGAGGCAATTGTTGAATGTATTATATCACGATTAGAATACTTCAGCTCCGTATTAATAGGAGATGTATTTTGACTAATGCGGTATTGAAACTCACACTTCTCATCAAGACCTTTGGTAAGATCAATGGTGATGATATTCAGTGCAGCTGCTCTTGTAAAAAGAGGCAGCAACTCTCGATATGCTGGTTGACCACCAGAATCAATAAAATACACCCAATTTGTACTAAACTTTTTAGACTTTCCAGTTTCATGAACACTTAAAACTTCTTTCACTACTTCTGTTTCAGTTGGATTAATCTCAGTTTGTTTAATCTTGACTGGTTTCTTTTCAATTGGCTTAATTTCGGTAGGTTGATCATCAGTTTCATCATCACTTTCATCTTCATCTGAACTATCAAATATATCAGTTAAGTCCAGTGGTGCTTCATCCTTTTCTTGCTCAAGTTCCGTTTCATTTGGTACCTCCTTTAAATGAGATGCTAGTTGGTTGTACAAATCTTTTACTTCAACCCTCTCCCATTTCTTATTCTTATCATCAACAGATATTCTTGTTGCTTTAACAGCAGGACAAGCTATTGATGTACTATCAGTAGAAGATGGTGGGTCTTCATTAAGTAGGAGGTGTCGTGAACACGTTTTACCAGCTCCAGGTAGACCATGCATATTGATACGAGTGACTTTTAGCTCAACTGTACCTTCTTTCAGCCATTTTTCTATTTTTTCTGAAATAAACAATGACATTATAATGATATAATTGACATCATTAAATTTAATAGTTAAGCTCTGTTTTAATTTAAGTATTGATAGACTAATGAAGTACCAACGGCCTCCAAAGGTGTACCAGATTTAAAATCCACCAAGATTTTGATTAGATTTTTGGCCTCGCCAGCGATTAGCATGGGCGAGGACTATGTAGTTAAGTGTGTTGTCTGTCATTCATTTTGTCCAGAAGCAAACTAAGCAATCTCTCAGTTTGAGGTTTTGTGGTTTAGAAGTGGGTCCTTTACACTCAGATAACTTCTCCACGCAGTTGAAAAAGTAGTCTCATTGCCTAGCCTCTAAAAGCGAAGGGGCAGGGCACAAGACTATTGAAAAAGCATAGATATTAGAGTTCTGTGGATTATTGGATTTTTATTGGATTATTGGATTTTTTGATTTTTCAGAAGTGTACCAGATTTTTTTGTTGTGGGCCCCTCGGGTCTATATTATAGAGGACAAAGTGTGAAAATGTACTGCATCATCAATATGCTTCATTTTTGTTTGTGTACACTCTTAAAAGGTCTAAAAGGAGCATGGACACAGAAGTGCATGCAATGAGTGCTATGGCTTCACATGCTCAAGCAAGAATATGGACCAATTAATAAAGGGTATGGCACTGTGGGCCATGTGATACAATGGATTCTGGGTCTTCAATTGTAAATGTCTCCATAGCAGAGGTGTATTTAGGGGGGGGGGCTGAGGGGGCTTGAGCACCGCCCCTCATGGCTGGGCTCAGAAAAAAATTACTCCAATCCTGGACTCTTGAATCAGTACCAAGCCTCATAACAAAGTTATCTAGCCCCCTTATCATGATTTCAGCAGTTTCCAGTGCTTTAAGGAGCAATCAGAAGTACCAGTAACATGGCAGTATGCTTGAAATGATCTTGGCCCCACCCGTAATTGACAAAAATGCAGGAAAAGGCCGTTTTACCGCCATAAAAGTGGGTGTGACCAAAATCGTGGAGCGCAGCGCTTTGCGCACCATCAGTATCCCTCTTCTCCTACTCCTAGACACACCCCTGCCACAGTGATTCCTTTTCATACATATGCTTATGATGCTTATCACAGCACCAAGCCTCAAGTCCAGCATTATTTCTTCATAGGTAAACTTTGATGGTTGCCATTTTGTTACTCTCATGTGAGCTGAAACATTACATCATCTTAATTATTTGGTCTGCGCTTCCGTGTCCAAGTTCCTCTAAGTTAATACAGAAAGTGTAATATAAACCAATTTAATGTAAGGATAAGAATAACCTCTATTCTTATGTTATGTTAACTGTGGCCATTGGCTATATTGCACTTAAGTTTCATTCTTGTAACCGTCATGAATCCCACCACATCATACTTTCATAACATAATGAATGTGTGACTCCACATGTAAATCATTTATTATGTACCTCGCTCTTGGGCTTTTTTGTATTTGTATCTCTTACGTACACACACTCCCACTACTTGACAATTGTGATAGATACATACCTGGCTTTATTGTAGTTGTAGCGTCTGTGTTGATTCTTCAGTTGTTTCAATCACTTCCTATACAATAATAATAATAATAACTGATATTTTTCACTGTGTTTGTTTATCAAGGTGTTATCAAAGGTAAGCTAATTCAACTGATCATGAATATCCATGAAATGATGAGTATTGATAATAGTAAAAGCCAAACAATGATAACTCACAATTATGATGTAATTTGATAAGAAATATGCATCACAGTATCAAATAGTGTTGTGCTAGTTTCAACGGAACTAGAACTAAATCTATTTTAGTACACCTATTTTTTCCTAGTTCTAGTTTCAAGAACTAGAACTAGAACTGAACTACATTGATACAAAAAACCAAAACTAGAACTAAAACTAGAATTTGACAAATTAAGGCACTGAAACTAAAACTAGAACTAAAGATTTAGCTATTAAGAACTTGAAACTAAAACTAAAATGTGCACTTGTAAATCACTAGAACTAAAACTAGAACTAAAACGCTACCCTTTTAATAACTGAAACTAAAACTAGAACTGAAATGGAGCCCTTTTAATAACTAAAACTAAAACTAGAACTAAAATGATACCCTTTTGAATAACTAAAACTAAAACTAGAACAAAAATGCTACCCTTTAAAGTTATTAAAATTAAATTTTTTCGGCATTAAAAAATTATAAAAATCACCTAGAAATGGTGTATTAGTAGGACTAAAACTAGAACTATAAGGCCAGAATCAAAATTTGGCATGGAACTAAAATTAAAACTAAAACTAAAACGGAAGTACTAGTAGAACTAAAACTAGAACTGAAACTAGAAATGGAGTACTAGTAAAACTAAAACTAGAACTAAAACTAGAAATGGAGTACTGGTAGAACTAAAACTAGAACTAAAACTAAAAATGGAGTACTGGTAAAAGTAAAAGTAAAACTAAAACTAGAAATGGAGTACTGGTAGAACTAAAACTAGAACTAAAACTAGAAACGGAGTACTGGTAAAACTAAAACTAAAACTAAAACTAGAAATGGAGTACTGGTAAAACTAAAACTAGAACTAAAACTAGAAATGGAGTACTTGGTAGAACTAAAACTAGAACTAAAACAGAAAATAGAGTACTGCACAACACTAGTATCAAATAGTGCAAATGTGTCAATTCATACCTTAATGCCACGTCCTCCTAACAGTGAAAGGTTACTAATATCAGATAATGATTCATCAGGTAGGATCTCCTTCAATTCTGTACGTCTAGTACCAGTGGTAAGTAGAAATGGTCGTTGTTCAACTACAGCTGAGAGTACAGCTTTTACACTATACACTGTCCTTTCTCTTGGTGTATTCACCAGGATAGGCTAGTTCTTTAGGATCAATAACTAAACTCTTTTACCTCTAGACTGGGACAAGATTTTTTATAAACACTCATTACCTCTCCTATCACATCTCTTCTTAGAGAAACCATATTGTC